CAGTTTTAGGTGTGCGTGGAAAAGTTGTAGTCGTTTCGTTTGTTGAGAAATATCTGGTGATTAACTGTGCTGAAGGCTTTGTGCAGTTTAAGGAAGACTACCTACTACTACTACTACTACTACTTTTACCTACTATAGTCCAGTTTATATGTTACAGTCTACTTCTAGGCCTGGTTTAATCTTGCGTTAGTCCTTGATTGATTCTCATAAAGCTGCATGAAGTGTCTGATGAAAAATGTTTTATCAAAAGAACTTTTCTAGAAAACAAATTCAAATGTGACTAGGTGAAAAAACAGTCGGTTAACGGCAGCTTATGAGTGACAATTAGTTTAGTAGAAAATTATCTCACCTGTAATAGTTGAAACTAAGTCAGTTTTTTATGGTCAAATTGTGATAAAGTGCCCATCTCATGCAAAATAACTCTTTTCACATTCTATCTTCTGCACATAAACAAGCACAATTTGGGTTCTGGAACATCCATTACACAATAGTTCTGAAATCTTACTGATTTCTTGGAGACAGTCACAGACCAGGAACTAGGAAAGACCGACTATTGCTCATTCCCCGCCCGTCCTGAGAAAGCACAGGCTCCGCCCTCCAAACGTGACGTAGGCGACGAGTGAGCCGCCCTTCCTCCGCCCATCTCAGGGAGGGAGGGGGAGACCGACGTGCACCCTGATAGTGGCAGGAATAAACTTTTATTCATCATGGAGATACAGCGCGTTCAGCCGCATGTGTTGGACCTGGAATTGGACGAGGACTTTGAGGTGCATGAAGTTCAAGCACCGCGTCCACATCAGCTGAACATTACTGATTGGTAAAGTATTAATAAACACTAGTAGATCAACTTATTATATCGTGTTCACTGCAGTGTAGAACAATGAGCTTATGCTGTTGCTTTTGTTTAGGTGTTCATGTGGGAAATGTCAGCCGATGCGAGGTGGCGAAGGTGGAGCGGGGGTCGGGTGTGAAGCGCTTTTTGCTACATCAAACACATCATAGGTGTAGCTGCCGTGCCATCATTGTAGCAGCTTTAGTTCGTTGTCACGTGGGAGGGTGGCAGAAATACGCTGCAATTTCTTTAAAAAAATGCAGAATCAATCTCAAAACCACTTCAGCGACATATACAAGGCCCACACATCACTCTTAGAAGGTAGAAAAAGTTGATTTAGCCTGAGATGGGCACTCAGATTAATCTAATTAGAGTAAGAGAGCTTCAGACAGAGCAGTCCCACGAGTTAGCTTTAGGAATATTGATAACAAGGGGCAACAGTGGCTCAGTTGGTAGAGTGTTTTTCCACTGATCTGAAGGTTGGCGGTTCAAATCCTGCTCTCGATATAAACTATATAAATTGACGATATAACGATATAAATTGGTTGAGCGATCAGACCCAATGACCCACATGTTGGCTGATGTGATTCCACCAGATCCAGATGAATGCTGTTGTTATGTCCTTGGGCAAGACACTTAACCTACCTCGCCCCCAGTGTGTCCGTACACTGGTGTATGAATGGGTGAGTGGTTCCTTGTTGTAAAGCGCTTTATAAAAATGTGACCCATTTACGAAAACATTACATGAACGATAACAGTATTGATACTTTGCAGCTGAAGCCATCAACGACCCTGGGAGAGTTAATCTAACTGGAAGCACTACTCTGTTAAAGTTCTGTTACTAGATAATGAAGATAAGAAAACAATTAGTAATCTATATAGTATTTTATTGATTATGTGTAACAATAATACTCAATATAAACGAGAGAGATGGGAAGTGGAGATGACAATAAATATACCGGTGGATACCTGGGAACAGATAAGCACAGTCACATCCTGTTACAAATTCAACCATCTGCTGAGAATTCAAGTGGAAAGTTATGACCAGATTTTTTACAACTCCAGATATAACCACAAAGATGGAACCAACACATTCAGGCTTATGCTGGAGAAAATGTGCCATGAATAGAGTTAACCACGCTCATATATTTTGGCATTGTCCCAAACTATATTTGTTTTGGAAAAAAGTTTTTAATCAACATTCCATTTACAACGGCAGTAGCATTATTAGAAGCACTACCTGCAAGTATCAACAAACAAGATTAAAAATACAATAAAATAAAATAAGTTTAGTCCAGGTTTAAACCAGGACTAAACCAGGTCTAAACCAGGTCTAAACCAGGTCTAAGCCAGGACTAAACCAGGAATAAACCAGGTCTAAACCAGGACTAAACTAGATCTAAACCAGGATTAAACCAGGACTAAATGAGGTCTAAACCAGGACTAAACCAGATCTAAACCAGAAATAAACAAGGACTAAACCAGGAATAAGCCAGGTCTAAACCAGGACTAAACCAGATCTAAACCAGGTCTAAACCAGGAATAAACCAGGACTAAACCAGGACTAAACCAGGTCTAAACCAGGACTAAACCAGGTCTAAACCAGGTCTAAAACCAGGACTAAACCAGGACTAAACCAGGTCTAAACCAGGTCTAAACCAGGTCTAAACCAGGTCTAAACCAGGACTAAACCAGGACTAAACCAGACTAAACCAGATCTAAACCAGGACTAAACCAGGACTAAACCAGATCTAAATCAGGACTAAACCAGGACTAAACCAGGTCTAAACCAGATCTAAACCAGATCTAAACCAGGACTAAACCAGATCTAAACCAGGACTAAACCAGGAATAAACCAGGACTAAACCAGGACTAAACCAGGTCTAAACCAGGTCTAAACCAGGTCTAAACCAGGATTAAAACCAGATCCTTCCTCTTATAACATATGGATTCAGAAAGTATGGGAGATATACCAAATGGAGCAGATAACATATTCTTTAAGGATTCAAAAACCCACATTTATTAAGCGCTGGAAACCTGTTTTGCCTTTGTTAAAACCGTAGAGGTGACATGGGGCTTCTTTTATAACAGCCCCTGACATATAAAGAGTGGATGTTTAATTTAATCATTTCATGTTAAATCATTGTATTATTGCTGAAAAAGAAAATAAAAATTAAGTTAAAAAAAAAAAAAAAAGCTTTGTCACTCAAGTCAAACTTATTTTATTGCAACACGATCTGACCATAAAAAGCTGTTAAACAAGTGTCCAAATTACAGTCACAAGCTTGATATTAGTTTTCAGATCTTTCAATCTTAAAACTGTTTTTGCAGTCAAGCCAAAGATGTTAATTTTGTCTTCTTATGTACTTTAACTTCTTGGATTCTTTTTAAAGACAATACAGGAAAGTATATTTACTGTATTTTTTGGACTGTAAGTCACTCTTTTTTCATGGTTTGGGTGTTTCCTGCGACTTATATATTCAAATTTTTAGACTGACAGCCGCGAGAGGCTCTAGTCTTGTGTGTCAGTATCTAGTACTACTTTTACTCCTGTACCACTGTCACTTCACTCTACTGTGCATGTTTTCTGTAGAAAAAGCTGTTGTTCTGCTGCAAATAGTGAAATATTCAGCCAAAAACAGTAATTGAGCAACAGAGAGAAAGTTTGGAGTGAGCAAGAAACTTGTGAGGGACTGACGGAAAGTGGGGATGGAGAACACAACTCCACGGCAACCAGGAGGATGCACCATGTAACTTTCCTGGACGTCACTGGATGAATCGACAAAGCCTGAACTTCAGTGACACTGAAACCATCCTGTCGGGATTCAGAAAGGCCAGAATAATTCTAACTGAAACTGATGCTGAGTCTGATGACAGCGACACAGAAGAGGAAGTGACGCTCTGTTTACATCATGGATCTATGGTTTATCTCTGGAGGTCGCACAGAAGTGACACTGAGGATGAAGAATTCAATGGATTTAGTGATTTGGAGTGAGATCGTGAGTTTCTTAAACTAATGTTTTGTTGTTTTTGCTATAATTATCTGAAGAACTGTTCATATGTTACGTTAACATATTAACACCTATTTAGTCTGTTGTTCTCTGTTCTGTTGTTATTACTATAATTTGCTTTTCAAGAAGAAATGTCGGTTTCTGATCTCTAATTTTATAAAATACACTTCCCCAAAAAGTGCCACTTATAGTCAGGTGCACCTTATATATGTTTTTTCTTCTTCATTGCGCATTTTTTGGCCAGTGCGACTTATACTCCAGAGCGACTTATAGTCCGGAAAATACGGTACATTGTTGACATGTTTCAACTGCTGCTGCGTCTTCAGAACTGTCACCGGTGTTGGCGGTGACGTGTTGTATATCAGCTGTTGTTCCTTCCTGTAGGCGTGGTCAGCCTGATAGACCTGGCAGGTGACTCAGACTGAGCACGCCTCCCGTCGCCCAATGTTCTCTGGAAGTGTGTCCCAGGTGGGTGAAAGGAGGAACGATCCGTCACCTCGGTTAATGTTGTCTGTGTCTCGTTTCCTGATTTCAATGTCCTCCCTGATCCAGCATTTGAACTCGTTCTCTGATCCAATGACCCGTACCTCGTCCCAATCCATAATGTGGTTCTTTTACAGTGGTCCAATATGGCAGATTTTAAGTTTTCCTGTTCTGCTTTGTCTTCTCAGGAAAACCTAAAATCTGCCATATCGGACCACTTTAAAAAAAAAAAACAACGAGTTCAAACGCCAGATCAGGGAGGCTACTGAAATCAGGAAACGAGGCATGGACAGCGTTAACCTTGAATCGTTCCTCCTTTCACACAGCTGGGACACCCTCCTCCAGAGAACACCGGGCGACGGGAGGCGTGGTCAGTCTGAACAACCTGCCAGGTCCATCAAGCTGACCACGCCTACAGGAAGTAACAACAGCTGATATATGACACGTCACCACCAACACCGGGGACAGATCTGAAGATCCAGCAGCAGTCGAAACCTGTCAACAAGGTAAATACACTTTACTGTACTGTCTTTAAAAAGAACCCAAGAAGTTCATGTTTTGTCAGTGTTTCCTAATGTGTGCAATGCATCACCATAGTAACTGCTGAACATTCCGCCAGGCACAAACATGTAGAACACCTCCCGCAAGACGTCACTGCAAGTATCAACACTCACCAGACACTTGGGCCTTCACCTCCTCCCAGTCGTGGTCCTCTCCCTCAGGTACTCTGCTCTCCTTTAGGCTCCACTCTCCCCGCTCGAGCACCCTCTCCTCTGGGCGCACGCAGGCTCGGGGTGAGGTCCACGTCTCCACATACTCCATCTCCCTCTCCGCCCGCTGCACCCGAATGTCTGCTCCACTCAGGTCCTTATAGAAGGCGCTGAAATCTCCCCCCAGACCCTCCATCAGCTCCTGGGTCAGCTTCTTAAAGTCCTGTTGCTCCGAGTGGTAGCGGCGGTTTTGGTCGTGCCATAACTGCATACGGTCCTACACAGAAAGAAAACACAGTGATAAGTTATATATTTACATATAGATCATTGCAGATAATTATTTTAGCACTGGAACAAGGAAAAATGCAGATCTGGTCCAGTTGAAGCCAATTTTAAAGAGGGGGCATTTTACTTCTCTGGGGTGTTACCAACTGTGCAAAGAAACGGTGAAAAAACGTTTTTTTAGGATCATTTTTTTAAACCCAATCTCGCTTCATTAAAGGTGCAGACTGTGACGCCAGATGATGTTTTTTTAATGTGTTCCGGACGCCCAGTATTGACATTCCAAAGTCCTCCAGATGAGGGTACATTCTTGTCCAAATGAGGTTGTTGCAGATGTCGTTTCTACGTTAAATTTAATCTCATTTCACACCATTTATAGAGGCCTACTGTTCCTAGGCTCTGTGCAGAACTGTGATGCCATTTCAGACGGTGGCATAATGTTTCAGTTCATTTTGTCTCAGCAGCAGGTAACTGGAAACGCGCACAAAGGTGTAAAGCATCTCCAGTTTAAATCTACTACTGAGCCACAAGAAGCTAGAGGAAAATGGCAGGATACAGTTCACAGGTTCTCCACCGTCAAACTTCAAACGTCAAACTTAAACTCAAACTACTGAACACGAGTTTGAAGTGCTGGGCAGAAGCGTGTGGACGTTTGGCTCCAGTAGAGATGAAGAAAAAGCCACCGTCTCTGGAAAAAGTATGAATCACGCCACGTCACTGCCTGGCGTGTTGTTTCGGCCAATCAGAGTGGTGTTTACTGGTTGGGATGTTATGGTGTTGACTGGTTTGAACTCATACCACGCCCGTAGAATTATAATAACTTTTGTATGCGTAGGCTATAATTGCACACAAATTACCACAAATTGCATTTCCAAATAAATAAACATATAAATACCACAATTAGTTAATTAAACAGATAACACAATATCATTTACTCAAATAAATAATTAGTAATAAATGTTTAATTACAGAAAATTAATTAAATTTTGAGGGTGGGATTAGTGAGAAGGGGTATTAAAAAAAAACAAGAAATAAAAGAACACGACTATTAACTACTAAACACATACTCTTCTTTAAAATGTTCTTTAACATTAACTTTTATTTTGTACAATGATAAACGATAAACCTTTGTGCCTTCGTTAATGTTAGTATTAGTTTGTACAACCATAAACTAAAAACAAAAAATCCTTACATTCTTTTGCTCTCATTGTAGTTTATTTCGCAAGATCATAAATGATAAACTTTTTCACCTTCGTTAACATTATTATTACTTTGTGCGACCATAAACGAAGAACAAATAATCCTTACATTCTTTCATTCTCATTGTGGTTTATTTTGCATGATCATAAATGATAAACTTTTGTGCCTTTGTTAACATTATTATTAAGTTGGTACGATCATAAACAGAAAAGGGAAGAAAAAAAAAAAATTAAGATAAGAATGAGGACGAAAGTGATAGTTTTTTCTGGTAGAGATTTTGGTTTGTAAAATAATCGGAGCAATGACTTTAAACAGTCCAACACTGTAGAAACCTTTTCAAAAGAGTATAGAGTGCTGTGTTTTGGAAAATACAGAGCTCTGGAGCTGATGAATTGTGCATTGAGTTTTGTTTGTTTTAATTGATATTTTGTCTCTTATATGTACAGTGAGTGGAGCTGGGACTCCTCCTGTCATGACCCATGTAGTCGTGGTTTATGTTTTGTTTTTGTTTGCCACAAATGATCCAATAAAAAAATAAAATAATAATAAATTAATAAATAAATATGAATGAATAACATTGATAACTATAATGTTGCTATTTGTCATACATAAAAAAGTATTATATTCATTAATAACGTCCTTTTTCTGTGCCTGTGTTGGACGTCGCCATGACATCCAAAAAAGTCCCCTAGTCCACGGTTCAAATGTTTGACTGCAGATTGATATCCAAGTGGGGTAATAGTTAGACGTCCAAATAGTGGATGTAATTTGTACGTCGTTTAGTCCAGAATTGTTCTTGGCCCGACGGATGCGATACAGATCTGCACATCCATAAAATGTCTAATGTTCAGTGAGTAACTGCACTTAACATATTTAGATCACCGTGCAACTTTTTATTGTTGCCCTACTGATGCCCTGAATCTCCCCTCCCTTTGCTCTCCATGCTAAGTCACTCCCTCTCAGTGTGCATTCTGCTAATGAAACTACTCCACATTGTATTTGTGAAGATGTTTATTTACAGACAGTTAATTAAGACAGTTTATTTATTTATTTGATGGCACAGTGGATATACATGAGCAATCTGTAATTACAGAGTAAATATGCCAGATTAGAGTGAAAAAGTACATTTCTGTCTCTTGTCCCTTTAGACAGGTAACAGAACACTGAACAATAAAAGGCCAGATTTAAAAAGTTTTGTATCATGTTTTTGTATATTTATGGAGAATTGTCATGTGGGAGCATGGGTGATGTAGCTGTGGCATTGTACAGAATCTTACAGATAACCATAAAGAACCATAAAGAGGGTTTGACCAGGAACCTGGAGGTTTCCCTGAAACACTGAAACATGCATGGATGACATCTAAAATATCTTCAGGCATGTTTCTTGTAAGAAAATCAAATAATTAATTAACAAGCGCAATCAGAGACAGAGACAGCAACCTGGTCTCCCATGAGGCATCAGTGGGTCAATTCATCACCACGGAAACAGCTTATGAGGAAATTGCCTCTCCTTTATAATGGCGTGAATTTTCAATTGACCCGTGTGACCTCAAATGACCTCAGATCGTCACCAAACTGTTTTTGCAGCATCAGGCATGAGGGCTTGACCCACGTACCAAATTTGGTGACAATCAGTCCATAAATGGCAGAATTATCGTGGGTGTACACACACACACAGACACACACACACACACAGGATGAATACAAAACCTGGTCAACCCTTCGAGGACCAGGTAATTAATTCATTAACACGAAGCAAACTTGCATTATAAATGTAGATAGAGTCTCTTGTGTCCATGTTTGCGAAGTGGCCTGTTCTAAAAGCCGGGAAAAAGAAGCAGCGCTGTATCTGATTTTTATTGGCAAACAGAACTACTTCACTATTGGTCCAAACCTTCCTAACATCCTAATTATTCACAGCAATGCCGTCACGGTAATACTAACAACTACTACCATGCTAACCGCGCACCAGTGTTACTTCCTGATAAAAACACTTTATAATTAGATGCAGACACAGTTTGACTTGGACCATTAGAGCAGCTTTTACAATCTGTGTGTACTGAGGCGAGACAAATGTGACTGTAGGACACAAACAGCTCCTTTTATCAGCTTTGTTCTGGAAATACCGAGTGAACGCCGGGACTCGGTTGCACTAATCAAACGTCGTAGAGTGTTACTGACTGGTGAGCCGACAAACAAGACTAACTCCTCTAATACTGGAGTGAATGCATAAAGTAAAGCGGCCCGCAGACTGAACCCTGTGGAACCCCTCACAGCTCCACACACACGACATCAATCTAATAACAGCTCCACTCTGACTGACAGGTCCAGAACGACAGGTGAATTACACTCACTCCCTCTTTCTCTTACTCTCTGTCTTTCTCTGTCCCTTTCTCTCGCTGTCTGTTTCCGGGGCCACATATTATTTATATATTATATATATCTTATCTGTGTTGGGGAGTAACAGATTACATGTACCGGAGTTACGTAATCAGAGTACAAATTATGAGTAACTGTATTCAGTTACAGTTACTGTTTCAGTGAGTGGTAATTGGATTACAGTTACTTTTTTAAAATAAATGGATTACACGGCGGTATTTTCCTGTTTTCACATTTTGGGCTAAATCCCCCCCCTTTTTTTTTTTTTTTGGTAATTTCACTCATTGCCGGACACTAAACTAGGTCTAAACCAGGTCTAAACCAGTACTAAAACCAGGACTAAAATAGGACTAAACCAGGACTAAAATAGGACTAAAATAGAACTAAATCAGGAGTAAGAACAGGACTAAAATAGGACTAAATCAGGACTAAACCAGGATTAAACCAGGTCTAAACCAGATCTAAACCCGGACTAAAACCAGGACTAAAATAGGAATTAACCAGGACTAAAATAGGACTAAACCAGGAGTAAAGCCAGGACTAAACCAGGGCTAAAATATAACTAAAAGAGTACTAAAACAGGATTTTACCATGTGTCTTCTCCTCCTCTTCTATTTATTTATTTATTTATTTGAGACAGGGACAGCACACAGTTTTCACAGTAACCTTGACAGGAGAGATGCATTGTACATCAGGTTGTAGCATCAGTGCTAATTTCCACCTGTCGTCCCTGGACAGGTTCATTGATTGACTGGATTTAACTGACCTTGACTATCAACTGTTCTGGACCTGGAGCATGTTTTGGGTTGATGGGGGAAACTGGAGCACCCAGAGGAAACTCATCCAGACACGGGGAGAAACATGCAAACTCCACACAGAAAGGCCCTGGGCGACCTGGGGATTGAACCCAGAACCTTCTCACTGTGAGGCATGAGTGCTAGCCACTCAGCCACTGTCTATCAATAATATTTTTAATTTTTATTTTTGGTAAAGACTGTGTTTTTTATTTTCTTTTAGCAGACAAAACTTCTTATGTTACGATATCCTCGTCTTTGCAAATCAAGTAATCCAAAGTATTCAGATTACATTACTCACCTTAAGTAATTTCATGGATTTTGTTACAAACTACATTTTGGGGGATGTAATCTGTAATCTGTAGGGGATTACATTTTAAAAGTCACCTTCCCAACACTGTGTATTATATATGAGGACCAAACTATCCCGCAGCCTCACAGAGAATAAACTTGAATAACATGTGTAGTCTGATACATTTGATTAAAGCTGCATAATATGAGATAAAGATATTTGATAAGTATATGTGGTATTGCAAAACTATATCATAGCAATACTAGTACGTACATTTTTTGGCGCAATAAGTTAAGCAAAATTAAAACTTATACCAGGACCAAACTGGGT